TTCAAAACATTCAGCAATTAACTGCTGTTACTCATTTTCCTACAAAAACACCAGTAAGGTATGAAAAATTCTCATCAAAGATAACAAGCAGCAGCTACTCCTTCCACCTGATAATTATTCAGCAAAACACCTGACATGAGCCAGGCAGTGCTGGGCCAACCCTAGACTCAGATGATGCTAACCTCATAGCGAGCAATTTTGACAAATGTCTCTACTAATCGTCCCTCATGAGAAAACAAAAACAACTGAACAAGCGATGGTGTAAAGACAATGTTCCTCTAAGAAAAATCACACCTGAAGTCAGGCTTGAGAGATAGTGGGAAGCCACCAGGAAAAAGCTAGTCTTGCAACATATTTTATCTGTTACACAAAGTTCACAGGACTTCAGATTACAGAACTGCAACTCATATCTCATATAACTATTAAAGAAAACTCTGCTTCCTTTCAGGGTCAAAAATATAGATACTTTTATTTTAAAGACGTTACTTCAAAAGCGAAGTATGATCACAAAAAAGAGACAGTACATCTGGAAACAAAACAAAAGAATTATTCAGTGGAGCTTGTTGTTTCTCCTCTCCCAGTTCTGCCCTGATGTGTACCAACCACAGCCTGATGTACAAGCAAGAAACAGGAATCACAGACTTCTCATAACAGCAACACCTGCCTTCCTTGGGGCTCACAGGATCATGCTGTGATCACCAATCGATCAACAGGAAATCAGGAAAGCACAGCTGCTTCCTGATTCCCTTCACAGGAAAGAAAGTAACTGTGTTCATGAGCAGCAGTAAGGGAAGGCTCTAGACCCCAAAGGCCTCTGGCATCCATGCTGACACAAAATCTTCCCAGTTATAAATTAACTGTTTAGACTGAAAACCCACAAGTCTCATATTTCTGCTGCTCTGCTTATTCTCAACTAAATCTATTCTAGACTGTTTTGTAACTATTGTCTTAAGTTCAGACAAACTTAAATCACACCAGTCTGCAAGTTACCTTTCAGTCTGAAACTTTTTCTTTGGGGTCTTTTAACTCTAGTCTCAAGTAACTCCACTTTATCGAGCCAGTTGTAGCATTATTCAAATACAAATACATAAAAAATTAATACCACAATCTTGCCAGAAATTAAAACAGTCAACCAGAAAACAAAGCAACTACTGAGAAAGATAGGTTGAAGTAAAATCAGCTGTTTCTGCACATTGTTTTACCTCTGGCATTCTAGAGAAGTTTACAGAATTAAAGCAAGTGTTTTGCTAAACAAGATACCCACTGGCCTTTTGGAGAGAGAAAAAGAAATTATATTTAGTGCTCAGAATCCATAAATCTGACAGGCACACAAGCAATTATATAATTTAAAAAAAAAAAATCTGTATGTCACTGGCACATGTTAGATAACAAGTTAAAGTAACAATCCAGTTGGATTTTTTCAGAATTATTTACATGGACAATAGCCTGCCTTTTAGAGATTTCAATGCACAAAGCCCTACTAAGGTGCAGCCACCTTTGATGGAGAACAACAGAAAATAGGTTCACAGAACACTATAGCACAGAAGGATTAAAAACAAATAAATACTTTCTATTGAGTTACTGATAACCTCCTCTTCATAAGCTACCTCTACTACTAAAAGCCTTACTCTGTTCTGTGGAACAGATGTATTGCCTCCAAAAATACAGTTTTACCATTTGAGAGACATTATGCATCTTCCTGCAATTTCTCAATTATTAAAAAATACTGCTCTCCAACACCGCTATTCTACATAAATGAGTGCTGAGCATTCAGTTCCTTTATCCTACAAGACCTCGTTTATTCCATAAATATGAATAAATGAAGGTGTCTGTCACAACTTGGCACTAATCTATAGTTTGAACATGATTACATTTAGGAATTCATATAGCACTCACTAATGAGACAAAACAGATGATTATACCACAAACTGGAACAACAGTATGTATAGAACTCCTGATTCATGTGAACCTAACAAAATTACTCACCTAAAATTACTCAACAAAAGAGATGTCAAAGGATGCCACACTTCCATTGATGATGCAATAAAACAGATTTGGAATATTTAGTGTATTTCCATTATAGCTTACTTGACCAACATGGTGAAACTTCCTTTGATGCAATCAAATAATTTTGCTAATTCAATATGAGTAGGCAAGACTATTGTTAACACCCTAAATTGAAAGGTGTATATATATATTTTACTACAGAAGGGAATTATAGCAGGCTAAATATATAATGCTTTTTGCTAACCCCAGAAAGTGATGTCTCTAACAGGCCATGGAATGAAAGGAGAAGTTTTCCCAAATTTTAATCCAGTCTTATAACAAAATTACGGTCAAACCACAAGCTACTTTATCAATTCTCATTTGCAAAAGAGAATCCAAATAATTTCTGGCATGAGTTACAAGAAAAACTCAGGTATATAAGATGAAATGCCATTATTCAGCTAATCTGATAAGTGTGGTTTTTAAGGGAAATTCTCTTTAATTTTCCAACACATGCAAAATTCTCTTAATTACCAGGAAAAACCATCTGGAGATACTCAGTTTAGAAATCTACTTAATTCTTTAAGAACCTGACAAGAAGGCATTCCATGGAAATAAAACTTCCTTTTTTTTTTTTCCCCCCTAAGACAACTGCTGCCTATAGCTCTGGTGCCTATAGTTTTCCAGCCTTCACTGTTTAAGAAACTAAGTAAGGATGTAACACAGAAAGAAAGCAATGAACAATAAAGTCTGTGTAGAAACAATCAGGATGCATAGCTACAAGAGATTTCCGATGCAAAGTTTTGTGCAGTACTTCAATGAAATATTAGCAGACATGAGACTTAACCTTGGGTTTAGCTCCTAGGATATAACATGATTTCAAGTTTACACTGTTTTATTTTAGTGTCATATACACTGAAGTCCTTTGAGTATCTTGGAGAAATTCTACTCTCGCAAAGATTAAAGATACCTGGCAGGACTTGATTCCCAAGCCTGGCTGTTTCTCTCTGTGTGGCTTCAATTATTCAGTGCTATAAGGCACTACCAGCTTCAGAAGTGCTGACAGCAGAACAAAAGTTTGGTTTTTTCTGGGAAAAGAAATAGGGCCAGCTAGGGAGAGCTGTGATTTAAGGGCATTCTGATGAGACCCCAAAGAAAGAAAAAAACATCTGTGCAGAACAAGCACGCATTTTTTGAGATTTACCACTTCCTAGTACATACATAGACAAAGTTAGCAGCTATTAATAGGCACTTTCAGAAGCTGTTGTTCCTTGTGTAATAGATTGCGGGCTTTTCACAAAATGACAAGCATCTAGGTTCACCACAATCTGTGTACACTCTAACATTCTGAATGATACTGAAATAGGTTGAAAAGTACTTAGAGACAAAACTGAACAAGACCAAACATTTCCTTCAGCATCAAAAAATGTAAGTACTTTTCAAGACAGAACTATTATTCTGATTATCTGTTGGAGAGAATAAAGTTGGATAAAACTTCTTGATAAAGCACTATATTTTGAGTTGTTACTATGAGTTGAAAATGTATCAACAAGCAGACCTGAGACAGTAACACAGATGAAAATCAGCAGAAAAGAAGTGGTGGCTTCAATATGACATGATCCACAGCAACTGAAATCTGAGTTTATGATGTCCTCAGGAATATGGACTCACTCCGCAGTGCTGTAACAGCCAGAAGTTAAGAGAACTCCTGATACAGATCAATAGTAAGTCGTAAGGCAACTTAAGGCCTAAAACATTCTCAAGTAAAGTTTGAGATTTATCTGCAGTTGGATCTCTACGACAGAACAAGTCACGTGTGGGCTACAGATGAGATCACAGGAGATATGGCACTAAAATGTACAGTCTGATAATTACAGAAATCCATAGGCAACAGTGAATCAAGCAGATCAAACAAAGTAATAAAAACCCCTGAGGTATCAGAATTTCTTACCACTTATCCTCTGGGGGGGGGAAAAAAAAAAAACCAACCTCAAAAACTGTGATCATACAAGGTTAGGCTCACTTTAAAAATCACTTATGTCATTGCTTAAGAAGTTCCTCTTGTTCATTTTAAGCGAGTAGCCTAAACTTATGTTTTAAAGTTCACGAGATGCAAGAAGGTAAGAGATTTTACAGGAAAAGACTGAACTCGAAGTCGAAACTCAAGAGGAATTGACAAGAAATCCTTAAGACACCCGGGAATTTGATTTTTATGATAAGGTTTATATTTGTCTAGCAGGACATACAGCTACTGAACAGTTCAAAACAGCATATAAGGCTGTTTTTACAGGTCTTCTACCATTGTTGCTACAAAACAACATGGAAACCATCATACAAAATCCACTGACACAGAATATCCAATCAAAGAAGTCTTGGACAACAAACATCAAACCATTAAACTTTTAACCAAATAGAGAGAGATTTTTCGACTGAGTGTTTGTGTTACCCTAGTTAGGCTGTTAGGGGTTTTCTTGCTTTTAATGTGGATAGAAAAGACAATCTATATTCACTCTAACAAAATGGTCTGGCACTTACTTAGATTCAGAATAAAACAAACAGAAAAAAAAAAGCAGCCCTCCATTACCACAGTTCATTTTCTCAGAACAGTTTTGGCACAATTGTTCTCCCCAGATTTAAGCCTACCTCTACTTCCACTTTCTTGCAAAAAATTCTACACATGCATTGGGAAACAAACCATATAAAATAGTTATATAACAATATTTATTTATATAGTTATTTCATAACATGAAAAAAAAAAGAGTAAACAATATATACTAATTAGTGATTAATCTCCCTTGAGATTCAGATGCATACATTTTTTTAAAAAATCCTGGTATTTTTAAATGAAAGCAATTATTTGCATTTGTTGAATAATCATCAGAAAAAACACAAAAAGTCTGCATTTCAAAAAAACAGACAGGCTTCACCTGCAAATTCAATCATAAAGGAAAGAGCACACTTACAAATTAAGAGTCAACTTAAAGCATTAAAACATTAAAGAACAAAATACTTACATTATCTTCCTCCTCTGTATCATCATTGTCATTATCGTCATCACTATCCTTGAACCCAGGTGGAAGTGGTGGCCCAATAAATTCATCATCATCATCGGTATCCCCAGCTGGACCTTGAGCAGAAGTCTGGGATTGCACAGAAGGACCAGTTAACTCTTCATCTGAGCTGTCTTCACTTTCACTACAGGCTGTCTCTCTACATGGAAAAAAATTAAAAATTACTATTTCAAGACCCACAGCACTTCCATAGGAATTTTCACAAAGAAGATGCTGAGCGCTGTTGTAAATTTGTAAACACTGAAATTAGCAGCAAAACTTAAACTAATTTTTATTAACAGAGTGTAGGTCCATCATCATCTTGGAAGTATAAACAAAGCTTTAAAAAAAGGAATACCAAAGTGACAGACAGTTCAAAAAATTGGACAAAACAAAACAAAAAGTTAGATGGATTGTAAAAACAAACAGCACTATGTCACTATTATGGATTTCAGTATTGCTTAGAAGCCAGCGGAAATATTGTTACAGAGCATTTTCAAGATTCTGCTTCAAGCTGTAGCGTGTGCAGATGCTCTACTCCTCTGTTGGCTGAGTAGAACTCAAAACAGTAATTGTCCAGGCTCACAGCCAGAGTGAGAACACAAAGCATGGTACTTGCTGTATAATGCTGGTAAAGAATAATAAGGAATCAGGCACTTTCAACCAAATATTTGATATTGTCACAAATCTAGATTCTAAAAGTTACATTAAATTATCTTTTTGCTGTTGTCCAAATCAGTTGCATGAATACATTATTTTTAGCACTGGAAAATTTCTGAAAAGTAAGCAGACCTATTTAGTGCACATTCATCTGGTTTATTCAAAATAAATGTGCCCCCTCTGCTGGTAGTTATCAAACAGGCAATATTCTAACAGAAAGAAGTAAGGTCTAAAAGTCATGAGCAGAAAAAACTGTCTCTTGCTCTTTTAAAGTGCAATGAGCTCACATTGCAAGACTTGGTTTGGGAGCTTGTACTTTAAGAGCATGTATGTGAGTTTTTAAGTGAACAAACTGCAAAAGATATTTTAACAAGGAAAATAAAAAGACAACTACAGAGCTACTGGGGTTTTTTTTAAAGTTCAGGTTATCACATAAAAACTATTAAAAAAAAAGACACAAGTTTAAGAACACAATAAAAGATTAAGAAAATATGTTCTAAACTATGTAATTGTGACAGAGAATGCAGCCCCACTCTGCCTCTCAAACCAGCTGTACTCCAAGCAGGTAGGAGGTTACACAGCAAATATTTGTGTTGGATAAGCAACTGTAATTCTATTTTAGGTAGAAATCAAAACAAACTAAAACCAACATGAATTATCCTCAGACATCACAATGATGAGAAGGGTTTGCATGCCTGAAAGATTGTCTGATTTTTCCAACTACATTTACTAGCCTAATAGCAGATATTACCTCTACATGCAAACTTTGTTTTGCATAGATGAGAGCCGTTTAAAGACCTAGATCAGGATATGATTATCTAATAAATCTAACCCAAATAAAAAGAGCTTCCTTTATTCTACAGCAATATGGCAATCAATATTATTTTACCTAAAGCTTTTCCAGCATGTGAGGAACAGATCGGGACTTTCAAAGTTCTTCAAGTTAGGTATCCCCAAAACTAATAGCTTTATAACACTATGTGCAGAAGAATTGTGTTTTAAGAGTCAATACACATTCCCAAACTAGCTAACCACACATCTTTTCCCTAAAAGCTAAACTATTTTATTAGTTTTGGAATTGAACCAAATACACACTGCAGCTGCCAATGAGAAGAATGTATACAACATAATGATTGAAGGAGTCTTTCCAATCCCGGAATCTGAGATTTTCAGATCTTTCTATAGACACCCAAGAACAATACCTAGCTTCCTTCCTTATTACCTATCCTTATCATTCCCTCATTTTCTAGGAAGGATTAATTCATCAAATAAAATGTTTCAGTATTTCGAGGGGCACTGTAATCACTCTGCATGTGAAACAGTCAGAACTGCAGTGCTATTTATCACCACATTCCAAGCTTGGCAGGGACAGTCAAGTACTCCAGCTTCAGCTACTGCAATCCTCTGTCCTGACTGGAAGAAAGTCAAATGTAAGAACATCCCAATGCAGCCAGACCAAAAAGCCCATCTACCCTTCTGACAGCAACTAAGAGTGGTGCTGACAGAAAGGACAAAACAAGTGGCGTTTCTTCAACTTTCAGCTTTACAGTCTTACTCTACCAGAGGCTGTAAAGAAAGAAAAACCAGTTTGCCAGCCCCTTTCCCAGGATTTAGAGAAGTGTAAGGAATTGATTTTGTTTTCCCTCATTACTTCCTCAGTAAGGGAAACAAGCTGTAAAGGAAAACAAGAAAGCTGTATCAGAGCAGGGATGGCACACAGACAGGGGAAATAACAAAAAACAGAGAGCTGTACAAGTACGTGGGCACATCCCCCCCATGCGTTCACTCTCCTCACATCATCCACACTGTTTTCTCAGGTTTTTTTCTTTTTATATACCACCAGATGCTTTCGTTTCATAAAGCATAATTATTACTATACTTATGCATAAATACAGAAGTACCATAACTATTGTAAACATTTCTCAAAGTAGGTCAAACGCAAAAAGAATCAGTAGCTGTTCACCACATCTTTTTGGAGTGACCAACCACTTTTTCACAATTAAAAAGTTAGTACAAGGGCTACTGTGATAAATGAAAATACTTGGAATTTTTTAAAAAAGCAATACTCAGGAAAGTGTTACCATTTTTAGAGAACAGAACAAACTATATATATTTGATCAGTTTTTAGTAACTAAAATCTACATTATAAGAAGAACTACTGAGAGTCCCATATTTCAGACTTAAATTGTCAGTTGTAGGAGTGTTCCTCTGTATTAAGGCTGAGTAATTAATGGCATGTCTCCTTCACTAGCTTTCCGTTTTAGCACTAAACTACATATCCTATTTTACAAGGAAATATAAAACTTCCAGGAAAGCTTTTCATATCATGCCCTCCCTTCTCAATGCTTGGTAAAAATAAAAAAAACAAAGAAAACTTAGTATCAGCAGAACTCTGGTGAGTTACCAGAGCCTACCTAGTAACTCAGAATACTGAGAGGTATTTGTTATCTTCCTTTATACTACTTCCCTGGAGTTCTCTTCTGTCAAGTCCACCAGCGAAATGAGAGGATTAAGGAAAGGCTCTAGATCACCTGACTGCTTTCCACCTGACCATTTGTTTTAATTGTTTCTTTATGTTGAAGTCACCCATCTACAGTACACAATCACATTACATTTACATTCTTGTGATCATTATTTCACCAGATAGGCATCTGAGATCAACAAAAGCAAATGGGAGCACAGAGTATTTCTCCCAGATTTACAAGACATAACACAGTATCTGTAGGGTAGTAGATTGTGCAATCAGTTATTTCAGTGAGAGTGCACAGCTCATTTGAGTTTTCCACAGAGCAGCAGGCAAAAAGTAAATTTTGTAACAGAAATTTGTTCACGTTCTGAGACACTTCAACTTCATCTATAATCATCTACCACATACAGACTCTATCAGCCTATGAGATAAGTATATGTTGATCTACTAGAGTCTTTCATTGGTTATTAGACTTCCATAGATACAGAAACGTAAAAATTCACACTGCACAGACCTCCACAATCCCTGGCACACAATGGAGCTGTGTGACCCCCATTACCTTCAGCTACATTTGATTTCCCAGCATTTCAGAATTCAAACTCTCAAAACAGTAGCGTTTATTGTTTGTCAATAACAAAGAAACATTGGCAAGTTTGAAATTAAATTGCAAACTGAATTCAAAACAAAGTACTTCCTCAACCACATTACTACTCTCTGTAATATGCACACAGGCTCTCCTCTTACTGTTAAATATACACACAGTCAATACTTACAAATATTGACATATCCTTAACAAAGTATAGATTAAAAAACCCTAAAAATACAAATTTCCACTGAAATACTTCAAATAACATAGGCACGTTCACAAAAATTAAATGACGCTCATGTTGACATAAACCCCACCCATCCCCCCCAAAAAAACCCAAAACAAAACAACAAAAAACAAACAAACAAAACGAACGAAAAACTCTTCAGATAAGAAAGCTGTTACATGGAATCTCCCAACATATCTAAGTACCTTCGGGTTAAGGTGGACCCAGCTCCTGTTGCACTGGATACTGAAGGTGATGAATCAGTGCAGGGATTTCTAAACTCTTTTTCAGCCTGGTCTTCTTTCTCTCTTTCACGAGCCTCTGAATACAGAGAGCACACAAATGACAAATAATCAAGACTTTTAGGAAAAACATAAAATTAGAGGCTTGCTGAAGACAGTAAAATAATTTTCTTCATTTTCAGACCTGTATGAAATATTTTAAAAGGTAACAGCAAATACAGGATTTCACCTGAAAATAATTACTTTTCCATAAAAATTAAATTTCCATTGTTATTGCAATGATCACTCAGAAAAACAAAATGTTACAAGGAAAAGGCAAACACCTTCCAGCTGTTAGTCTGTACACACTATCAAACAGAAGCTGATCATATAACTGATATTTCAATATTTCCAGCACTTTACTTAAACAGTATGATTACTTCAGTGTGTTCTAGAAGTTTTCATAGCACAGGGAACTAAATCAGTACATAAGTATACACAGGTGTAAATAAATGCACTCTAAATATGATTTATGGAAAATAAATACAAAGAGTTGTTTGTATTAAGCGTTTATTTCCACTTCACTTACTGAAAGAGAATCCCAGTGGAACAGTGCAACAAAATCGAAGTAAACAGAACCTTTCAATTCAAAGTATAAATAAGAATGGTGGGATTATGACATGGTAACATACTGTATATGTATGTTACAGCTACTGTATCTCTAAAAGTGCAAGAACAACTTCAGTTAAGCAGAGAAGAGTTACTTTCTCTCTATACAAGAAACATCACTTCTGTTGCTCGCTGTTGGTTAACTAAACTAAAAAGAAAATCACGTTTTGCAGCAAAGCTACATTTTCCTCTGAAGAGAAACACAAACACCTGCAAGATACAGAACCAGGAAACATATTTTGATCGCAGTTCTTTTTACTCACAGTTTTTTTCCAAAACTTATCATAGGTATTCCGAAAAGCTAAAACTCAAGTTTATATTAAGAAATCTGAAAATAAAATGCTGACATTATCCTAGCCCTACAAAAAGCTGTAAAACATACAACTTATTGATTATTGTATTTTGAATACCAAAATTTGTTTCGAAGTTAAGCAGCCGAATTATACACAAAGGTTTGTCACTTTTAGTAAAAACATCAACCTTATAAATAACAAAATACCCTCTACTTCCTTTAGATGTAAGAGCCCAGAAGCATTTGGCAGGGGAGGAGCGAGGGAGGGGACACATTCAAGATGCAGTTCAAGATGTCTTGACTTAAAAACATTAAGTTTTTCAAATTGCTTACTGGATCTCCCTCTTAAACTAAAACATGGCGTAAGCAAATGACAACTCATAAGGAATGATAGCTCAACCTCAACCAGTATCAAATATGAAAGGGTTTCCAACATGGAAACACATTGTTTTGTTTAGATTCAGCCAACACAAAAGAATAGTTCAAATAAAATTTTGGAATACCCTGCTATTTGTATTTCACAATGTCTTAAAGCCCACGAAGTAAACGAGCCTCCACAGAGGTCTATTCCTGTGGTTCTGTATAGAATCAAAACAATAAAAACAGTCAACATTGTAATTATCTCATTCTTTCATACAGAACTGCTTTCTTCATGATAAAGTGCTTCAAGTCTACCAAATTCATAAACTGCAACCCTTTAGAGAGCAAATTAAGTGTAACCTAGGAGGATAGAAGCTGTTCAACCATGATGGCATCAAATAAACAAAATGAAAACAAAACCCCCACAAACAGTCCAAACAGAGGGGTAAAACATGGACTTTTAGGCTGGCAAAGGGACTTCTAGAACACATGAGTGTCACCCCCAAGAATCTTTCGAATGGTGTTTGCTTGGACATGGGCAGCAAAAATTACAATTTTCTCCATCTCCCACCCTCTAACCACCACCTTGAAAACATACTGTGTTGGGTTTGTGAGGGGGGGACACACACAGTTTTTTGGTAGCAGGGAAGGGGCTACAGTGATAGCTCTGTGAGAAGCTTCAAGAAGCTTCCCTGGCTCTGAGGCGGACCAGCCTCCAGCACAGGCTGAGCCAATCAGTGCCCCCGAAACACCTCTGCAAATCCATATTTATGAGGGAGTGAACCAGTCTGGCAATAGATCAGGAACATCAACAACAAAAGAAGACAACAACCTGAGGAGAGAGGATATGAGGGAGAGAACTAGAGAAACCCAGGTCAGTGGCAAAAGAGGAAGAGAAGGTGAGTGGAGATTCCCCTACAGCCCATGGAAGATATGGGCAGAGCAAATACCCATGGGTAGCCCATGGTGGACCCCTTGGGAGAGGAGGTAGAGAAATCAGGAGCAAAGTAAT